AAAAATCCCTTCGCCAGGATTTTTCTCCTGAGAAGCCTCAGAAAAGAAATGTAAACAATAGTTATTAATTATAACAATTATGATAAACAATAATTATAGCAATATTAATATAAAAATCATTATAACAATAATTATAAAGAATACAATAATTATCTGATTGCTTTGGAATGTGGTGTGGAGGTTGCTGACCCACAGGTGCATTTTTGATTGATTCCGTGTGAATTGTTTTAATTTAATGATCAATCCCAGTCCAGCTGTGTTGGACTCTGCCACGGGTTTGTATTATTCTTCTTGTCTAGCCTTATGATGTATCCTTTCTATTTCTTTAGTATAGTTTTATATATGATATGATATATGATATACGATATAATAATGTATCAGCCTTCTGAGATCTGAGATTCTCCAAATCTGAGAACTTGGAGTCAGATTCTCATTTCTCACCTCATCCTGGGGACCCTCCCAACAACATAACAGAGGATAGCTGGATTTTTATTTGTTTTGTTCATATTAGGTGTTGTGTTTGAGTCTGATTGGCTAATATCTGCAAATTCAATTTATTGGTTGGTAATGGTTAGGGTAGATGTTTATCAAACTTTTCTCTTTTTAGATAGTTTATCTTTTTTTGTTTCACAGATTCTCACAGGATAGACTTTTAATTTTTATTGGTGTAAATTTCATAAGACTAGACTGTTTCTATTTCTATTTTTTTTTCTAATTTTTTGTTTCTTTCTATTTCAATTGTTTCTATTCTTTCATAAGAATAGATTGTTATGTAAACTGATTTTCATTCTTATAATTTTTTTCTTAAGGGAATAAGTAGATTTTCAGTGTTACAGGATTCTATTTTTATGAAAGCTGCCAGGTTTCTCACAGGAACTTACCAGGCTAGCTATTAGCTCAGCAGAAGTAATAAAGCTGATTTACAAGCCCTTTCTTTTATAATATTTTTACCTGTATGTAACTCCTCAGCACCCACCCAGGGCTGCTTTGGCCAGCTCTGGCCCCTGCTGTGAAAAGCAATTTCCCTGGCTGCAGAGCACTGCTCTTATTAAGTAGTTTCAGGTTTGGCAACCCAAAGATTTAGGGTGCAGTCAGTGCCATTACTCACCCATTTTTCTCATGAATGTTTAAGGGAAAACAGAATGAATTCCTATCTCTTGTTGCCATGCTGGAGATATACAACAGTAATTGTGGTCTATCAAGACATCCCTCAGGGACAGACAGTGTCATCCAGCTTGTCTTGAAGGAGAATTATTTTCCTGATAGAGGGAAACATCCCATGATGTGATTGCTCATTCCGTCACAGGTTAATTTTGTTCCAGTAACCATTAAACAGAGACAACAGTGCGTTTCAAAAAGAGAAAAATACAGACCCTCCAAACCTGTTGTCATGACACTTTGTTTCCAAACTGTGGCAATTTTGGAGAAACTCTTTAATTGCAGGAATTTCTGCACTAAAAGCAGAGGGGCTTAATGCTGCCTCTTTCACTTCTTTGCAGTTGGCAAAATGCTAGAAAGATGAGAGAAAATTTACCAAGTATTTCTTGATACTTACATTAAGCCCTCACCTCTAAGGAAATGAGATTCCCCTGTGCATTTTCCCAGCAGTATTTTAATATTTATATTTGATTTCCCTGCACCCCAGTTCCAAAAATCATTGATGGCGGGACGTTCACAGCCATGGTGGTGGGGCTGAACTCCTGGGTGGAGTACGAGTTCACTTCTTTGCAGTTGGCAAAATGTTGGAAAGATGAGAGAAAATTCATCAATCCTTTTTGCTACTTATGTTAAGCCCTCACCTCTAAGGAAATGGGATTTCCCCATGCTTTTTCCCAGCAATATTTTAATATTAATGTCCTTGCACCCCAGTTCCAGAGGTGATCGACGGCAGGA